TTGGTATAAGAAGCCTGGGATGATGCACCCATTACTTTCACCTTTTCAGTCTCTCTGCATGTCTTCACTCAGCAGGATGGGAAAAAATGGACTTTTTACAATTCAATATTCATAATGAATTATAGCCTCCCCAAATTCTCTCCACCTTATTTGAGATCGATATAATGTAAACATACCTGTGAAGCTTCTCAGTCATCCAGGTGAGTCTATCTGGAAGTAGAGTCATGGCAACTGGACTTCTTTCTTGGTAGGCTGAAACATTTTGCTACTCATCCAAACAGCTTCTTCAGATTGAGGAGAGATTATGGGAAATCCTTTATATATCCTCCACTTTGGTTTCACTTGCTCCTGAATAGGCTCATTAGAAGGACAACGGACTGCAGGTGAGGGATGATCTCACTACTACAGTACTTCTTCACCCATTGTCATGGGTCATTGACTGTAGTTAACAGTGGTCTTTCTGGTGTGTGTGGTCCTAATCTTTCTGGGGATGGAGAAAAGGGAAGCATGATGGGATAGATTGTATCTGAGGCCTCCACCCCTGTTAAGTGAGGAATTTTCTATATGCACATGTATGGCTTCCCTTACCCCTCTCTCAAACCACCTATCTTCTCGGTCTAAAATGAATACATCTTGGTCATCAAATGAGTGTCCTTTGTCATTCAAATGAAGGAACACTAAATTCTACAGTACTGTATATATTTTGTTGTAGTTGTATTTGTTTATTTAAAAAATCAGTTAAAAATGAAGGAACACTGTGGATTGTGGGTCTGAGCCATTGTCCCTCATGTGCTGGTCTGATCTCCTGTTTAGTGCCTCTTTGGTTTCTCCAATGTAGAGCTCCGAACACTCCTATGTGTATTGGAGCACACGTACTACAGTGGTACCTTGACTTACGAACGTCTCTACTTGCAAACGTTTTGAGTTACGAACAGTTCCATTCACAAAATGTTGCTTCGACTTGCGAACAGAGCTTTGACTTACAAATGGAAAAAACCTTTCCTGCCCTTTTGACCTAAGTTCATCTTAGGTCAAAAGAAGAAGAAAAAATCTCCCCCTAGTGGTAGAGTATGGATTAACCTATGGGAACTAATGCCTCTACTTACAAACAGCGCCTCGACATATGAACGAAAAACAGCCAGAATGGATTAAATGGTTTTCAATGCATTCCTATGGGAAATCTTGCCTCAGCTTATGAACTTTTCGACGTACGTTCTAATATGGATTAAGCTCGTAAGTCGAGGTACCACTGTATATTGCTCCTGTTGTGTTTTGCAATCCAATCTTTTTGATGGATAAGTCTCTGCCTTAGTGTTTTTGTAGGTTTGAAGTGCATGGGTATGTGCAGCTCTCCTCAGATTTACGAAGCTACTTGAGTAGCGAAATCTTTCAACCAAAAAGAAAGAAGTCCTATTTCCACAACTCGACTTCCTTATCAAAATCTAGGGAGTATGGAATAAAAGATAAACAAACACATGAAAACTCCATATTGTAGCTGGACAAAAATTAGAACATTAGTATATTATATACAAAAGTGTCAATAAAAATGTATCACCAACTGATATCAAACAATACTTGCAAATGATGTTCTGTCTTATGCCAAGCAAGTAAATAATATGATAAAATTATCCAATGCAAATGTATGCAGTGCAGGTATCTAGTCACAGAAAATCAAAATTTAGTGTCTGGAAATGTTGAGTAAAAAGTCCCCTCAATGGTGTAGTCAAGGTCTTGGATCCTTGGGGTAATGTTGAGGGGCTCTGAGCATGAAATATTGTCCACTAAGCTTGTTTCATGGTAAGTTAACTTCACTTCTTCAGAAGATAGCCCTTGAACAGGAACATTCATGAACCTAGAATAGTTATTAAATAATAAAATACCTCATTTTGTTAATTGTGTTTGCCCCACTATTAGGTAATACTGAAAGTCTCTTTACTTATAATATATTTCAATTCAACGTGCTAGCATCCTCTTATCTGTTTGTTAGTTCTCTGCTGTAAATCATTCCCAAAAATCAAGGTCATTTATACTCCTTGGTGGCAACGCAAATTCCTTAAAGGGACCTTCCTCTTTATTGTATTGTGTAATTCTCTAAGTTTATAAAAATGACAAGAAGTCTAAATGGTTATTTATTTACTCTACGTCCAGCATAATGTAAAGAGAGAGAGAGAGAGAGAGAGAGAGAGAGAGAGAGAGAGAGAGAGAGAGAGAGAGAGT